TAAAACTTAATTGATAGTTTCTCTAGGGGTCTTTCGCCACTTAGGGTTTCGGGTTTCAACTTGTAGTAGACTTGGCCGTTTGGAACAGTCATGCAACCCCCGGACTCCGAGCATCCAGGCATAAAGTAGTAATGAAAAATTATATGCGGGCAGCTAGCTACTTGGGGTCTTTCGCCACTTCGGGATTCGGGTTTCTGATTATGGCAGGCGAACATCGGAACATCCAGGCACCGCAACCAAGGTCGGCTAAGGCATATCAAAACCTGAGCAGCCTACACCCCAAACCCTAAAACCCGATTGAACCCTAAAACCTAAGACCTAAACCCTAAACCCCTAAACCCCTAAACCCTAAACCCAAAGCCCTATACCCTAAACCCCTAAGCCCCTAAACCCCTAAACTCCTAAACCCCTAAACCCTAAGCCCTAAACCCTGAATCCAAAGCCCTATACCCTAAACCCCTAAGCCCCTAAGCCCCTAAACTCCTAAACCTTTAAACCCTAAGCCCTAAACCCGAAACACCGAAACCCCTAAATTCTAAAGCCTAAACCCAAAGCCCTAAACCCCTAAACCCCAAAACCCTAATCCCTAATCCCCAAACCCCTAAACCCCTCAACCCTACACCCTAAACCCTAAGCCCTAAAACCCTAAGTCGCTAAACCCCTAAACCCTAATAACCCTAACCCAAAGCCCTATAAACCCTAAACCCCAAAGCCCCTAAACCCCTAAACCCTAAAGCTTTAACCCCCACTATACCCTCGCAGCATCAGGATGAGCTCGACGAGAAGCTGCTGTTGGCCTCCACCGGTGCCACTAAAGCTTCGTGACTGCAGCATGAACATGTGCACGAAAAAATGGGCGGTTTGTACACATGTGGTCTGATGCACTGATCCGAGGCCCTGCCTGTCGACATGGACAACATCGAGACGCAGCTGATTTGGGACATCCCGGATCCTGCTGCCAAAGATGTGATTCTGGAGGCAGTTGTGTCATGATCATAGCTAGCGACTGACGAATCATCAACCGTTTCAGGAGCCGGAGATGGAGAAGCGAGCCCCGGTCCACGCAGTGGCACCGGATCTAAAGATTTCAGAGGAAGCTCTGGCCGAGTTTGGAGCAGACTTGGAGGAAGCCAAGGTTACCGGAGCTGTGGCAGAGCAGCTGGAGGTGCCTACAATTTGATCGATCATGTCTAGGCCCATGTACTTCACCCGATCCCAGCACACAGTCCTGAAAACCAGCATCGCGATGGTCCCAGCATGTGTGCATATCACCTGGAGATTGCAGGGGGTTTGAGGTTGGGCTTGGCAGGAGTTGGTGATGCTATTCGGGTTTGCTTAAGATTAAGGGCTTAGAGGTTTAGGGTTTGAGGGGTTTGGATATGTTTTCAGCTTATTAACTTCCGAGCCGGCACACGTATAAGCTGCAGGTGTCGAAGGCGGCACGCTTGGCTGCAGCGCAGGACAAGGTGGACGCGGCGGCCAAGAAGGACAACACCAAGACGGTGGCCAAAGGCTCCAAGATCAAGACAGGCCGTGGCCGAGGTCGCGGCCGAGGAAGGGGGGCAGCCAGCTCCCAGGCACCTCCCGAAAGTGCCCCTGCCCCAGCCCCAGCAGAGCCGGACTCACCCGCGCCGCCAGCCCGAGCAGCGAAAGCCAAAGCAGGCCCCAAGCCAGCCCCCAAGCGAGCCCCCCAGCCAGCCCCGGAGCCAGCCCCAGAGCGAGCAGAGAACAGCAACACAGACCCAGACGGCAGCAGCGCAGGCAAGTACGATTGGGCGACCAAGGCCATTAATTAGGGGTTTAGGGGTTTAGGGTTGTTTATAGGGTTTAGTGTTTAGGGTCTAGGGTTTAGGGGAAATTGAAACATAAATGCACCCTAAACCCCTAAACTCCTCCTAAACTCCCTAAACTCCCTAAACCCCTAAACCCTAAACCCCTAAACCCTGAACCCCTAAACCCTAAACCCTAGCACCCTTATTTTTTCCGGGGTTCGGGTGACCGAGAGCCTACCAGTTTCGACACATAACGAGTCGTGTTAATTGCAATCAATATATATATATATATACATAATAATATTATATATATATATAATATATACATATATATATATATAATACAGCAGTGCTATACTGCTATGCAGGCTACAGAGCTGAAGGCTGCTGGGGTGCCGATCCTGCACAACTTCCAGGGCCAAGCCAAGAGCTACACATTGTCTGCTGCGGAATACCATGGAATGGGTGAGAACTGGGATGCCGGGTCTATCAGTGTATTGTGATCTGCCTGCAAAATGAAGCGAGCTTATAATTAGCATATACTCGCAGGGCATATTGTCACCTTTTGCTATTGAGGTGGACCATCCAGACTTTGTACGTGGCGAAGGTGAAGACCAAATGCCAAGGACGTTTTGTTGTTAACAAGAAGGGCGGGTGCACCCTCAGCCGGGGGAAGTTCAATGGTTCATGGCGGGAAACCTGGAAAGCTGCGAAATTCGCAGCAGGATGGACAGTGACTTTGATTAATAAGCTGGCTAGTACGTACTGGCTAGGGCTCGGGGTCTGTGACCACAACTGAGGACTACCTGGAGTGATTGATGATCCCTCTGGCTATGGCGATTTTGGTTGGCTGCTTGGGCTCAACTATATGTGTGGCCATGGTGAGACACCCGTATTAAGTTCAGGGGTTGGGGTTTACGATTTCAGGAATTGGGATTTTGGGGGGTCGGATATACACTTTGCTACGGTGTACCTAATATGAAACCGGGTCCCCTAATTCTTAGTCTCTCCCGAGTCCGAAATCACCCGGAACACATGATTTGAGGTCGGGGCTTGCAAAGATCTTTCGTGTCTTTGCTTTGAAGCGGGCACTGCTGCACGCCTGGGAGCTCAGCTTTAAAGTGCAGTTTTTATTGGAGCTTGTCGTGAGCGAGGGAAACCTCCTGAACCGCCGCCCTACTTGTACAAGCTTAATTAGCCTAATTAGCCATGTCGGAAGCTGGTGCCATGGCTGGGGTGCCGCTTTATTTATCTGCTGAGAATGCATCATTCCTGGTGGCCTGTGGTGTGCCGATGATCTTGCCCTTTGACCCGTATGGTGCTACGAGCATTGCAGTATTAATGTACCATCGTACGGACCCCATATCATTGCAATTATGTGATGACCCTGTGAACTGAGGATTCATGCCATCGACTACATCGTACAGCTTAACAGCACCCGTCCGAAAGAGGATCGCCCTTGGACCCGGGACCCTTAGCTCGAATCTCCAATTAATGCTTGAAATCTAGTGCTAGAGATGTCGAGTTGAACTAGCATAGCTCTGAAGCTGAGGAGCTGCATGTCCTGGAGATGTTTAGTGGGAGTGGCCAGATGACTCGAGCCTGTCGCTCCTGGGATTATATAGATAGCATAAAGCTAGTGTACCCGAGTCCCCTGCACGATCGGCCTCTGCATCTCAGGATCGGCGGGCTTGGTGACGCCCAACCTCTCAATTGGAGCGAGTGTTCATGACTTCGTGAGTGCATGGTCCAGCGGGTGCTTAAGCTTGATTCTATCCTGTTATGTGAGCTAAGGCAAAATTATGACATACAACTTCGGGGCACTTCGAACGATATTCTCAGCGTCGAGGGGCTGCTCGTGGCTTTGCGGGATTGTCTTCGACTCAAGAAGACAGGATTGCTGTTCGGAGGTGTGCCCTGCTGCTCGTGGCTTGGTGGACATAATGCCCTAAACCCCAAACCAGTCTAGTAAACCCGCAAAGCGCAAAAGCCATGAACCTGAAACTGAAATGCCGTCGCTCGAAACACCCGGCCCTAGTTATATAATATATAGCATTCTTTCTATATAAATTTGTTTATTATATATATATATGTATTTATTGAATAACCTGCTAAGCTGGTCAGTCCCGGAGTCCTCTCCTGAAAGATATATGGAGCTGTCTAGCTTACGACCCCAGGAGGTCCCACGTACTCACACTAGTACTCTCCCTAAACCCTACCGGCATTCAATCGAATTCCCCAAATATTTGAATAAGCCTGCTGAATCCCCAACCCAAAATCTACCTATCTATATATATATATATATTATTTAAAATATCTATATCTATCTATCTATCTAGCTATCTATCTATCTGTCTATCTATCTATCTATCTATCTATCTATATATATATATAACACCCTAATAGGAGCCCTAAACCCAAAAGGTCCCAAACCTACATCCCCAAAGGCTCTTAACCAGAAACCTCAATTGCACAAAGTCCTCTTTCGGTCCGTACAAGCTGTGGATGTAGGGTTTCGGCCTACTGGTCTTATAGGGTGTGGGTTCACCGCATATTGGGTTTCGGTTCGCGGCCACATGCAATGTACCTTTGGGATTTTGGGCCGAGGCCTAGGTTGACTTAATGGGAAGGTTATAGGGCATTTATTTTTTTGTGCAGGAGGTCGATAGAGATAAGGATTATATGGTTTGAATTGTGTTGGTGGGCCAGGATTGATGTCGCCGGGGTGTGTCTTTGGCATCGTCTCAGTACTGGTTGCCTTGCTCGATAGAGCACACTTGTCTGGGTCCGGTGTTCAGGGTTCAGACTGCCGCCGCATGATGCGGGATCGACATGTCTTGAAGGCCCGGTACTCTTCGGACTCCTTCAAGTCTCGCACGATTTCGGTGCGCTTTCTGCTTCTGATTCTGCCACGAAGCGGTTTCGTGTCCATCGTCGGATTGCTGTGTCGGCCCAACCATGCACGGTCAAAGCTTAAGGGTAACTTTAAAGTTTAGGGTTTAGGGTTTTAGGGGAGAACATAAACGAAGCCCCAAAACAGACCTAGGATCAGAACTCAAGAACCACGCACCGAACTTCCTTTAAAGTGTACGCAGCTTGATTTCTAAGCAAAGTAGATACTCCTCACGACCGGTGTCCCAAATAGACAAATTAATCCCAGCATCGTCGAAAATGATCCACCTAATCAATCTGCTAAATCCCTTTAACCCCATTCCTCCAAAGTAGTTTCAGGACCTCCAAGCCAACGAAGCTAAAGCCCCGATCCAAGGTGGATATTTATGTCCTCCAGCAGAACCGGCCGCTACGACTCCATTATGGGCAAGAGTTATAAATCAGTTCAGGACGCGAACAAAATCGTGAGCAGATTCACTCTGCTCGTATGTGTGGCCTTGTCTCGTGGTGTCCATTGGCTGGAATCTTGCCTCAATTAATGGCTCGGATTATACTGCTGGGTTGGGCTGAGGTGCTTCATGGCTTGCTTTGTGACCATGAGGTTGAGCAGCCAGGTGGTTCCCTGCTGATGCAATTTCCGCTGATTGATTATGTCCTCCGACTCGCAGGGCATGTTCACAAACTGTGGGATCCCTATCACACGGCTGGACGACATACTGTGCAAATCTTTTAGCTCAGCAGGGCTTAGCTATTTATTCTTTCTGTCCGAGGTGGATGGGGGCCTACGGCCACGCGCGACCCAAGCGAACCCTTCTGTTCGGTTCTGTGTGCCTTGACCGAATGTACCTTGAAGCCTGGGTCTATCGATATCAATCTAACCTAGGCCTTTCATTTATGGCCTGAACAAAACAATGACCCGGGCAGAGATGAGAACGATGAGCTCGGCCAAGCTTGTCAAGAGAGTCATCAAGGATGGCAAGGAACGAGTGAGTCCGAGCTGCAAAACCACTTACAGGTAGCTGTGCCGACCTCTACTACGTATTAAATATTGCAGCTAAGGACCGGGAAAAAGCAGGCACTGCGAATGTCCGGTGTGTACCCACAAGAGTTCTGCCAAGAGATCGCAGGCCGCTACAAAAGCCACCTAGCAGCTAGCCATTATTTAGAATTTGTGTGGGGACGATTTAGATATAGCAACCTTTCGTGGAGAACCCCACCAGGCAACCGGAATGCCGGGGCCGCAGCTGGATCGTGGTGTTTTCGAGCAGCTGCAGCATGTGGAGGACACCTACCAGCATTAGAGGGTAGGCTTAGCCCAATTCAAATTAGATTTTGCCCTGATTCCTTAAACCCAACCTAAGACTAAGGCCTTTAACAACAGCTCGAGGTTCGGATCCATATATATATATAATTAATAAATAATATACATCCCGAAACGAAACGCTAATTCCGAAGCCTAGTCTGCTGTCCGGTCTGTATTTATATTTGAACCCCAAAGCCGAGACCCAGAGCGAATATATGATGCCATCAAAACGCGACGAATGCCAGCTGTGTAAACCCGAAGTGCCTTAAACTACACCCGGCCCTAAATCCCTAAACCCTTCAACCCCTAACCCCCCCTAACCCAGGAACCTATTAGCCCAAAAATGTAACCTTTCGAAGTCCTGGAACCCAGACCCGACTCCCGAAAGCTCAGAAGACCTAGAATTATCCCCTAAGAAGCACGGTTCAGGGTGCTATCTTGCTGTTATGGGCTTTCTAGACGAAGGTTTGGGCTTGCACTCTGGGGATCTGTGAGCCATTATCGGGTTTGTGGTCATGAATATAATATAGGCCCCGCAAAAAACAAGTACGGCACCCTTATATAACGAAGCTTCAGGGTTCCTGGGTTATAAAGCTTCACTACTCGTGGTGGCTTGGTCTTTAAACTCCTATATTATTATAATTATATATAAGAATAATAATATATAGGAATTATATATATATATATTCAATAGCTATCGTATAGTACGAAATCCCGCATCGCTTAGGGTCTGCTCCTTGCTTCGAGTGTTTCTTTTCGGAGATGACTTCCGGAATTGCGACTTTTTGAATCGAGTCAGCACGTTTTCGGGATCTGATAGTCAGGTTAACTCGTTGGGGCTATTGACTATCGATCTAACTACCATTTAATTAAAACCAAAACCAAATAGTTCGAAGCTCGCGATCACATCGTAGATCATCGTGCTCATCGTTGGAATCAATATCAGTCCACAGCATGGATCATCGTGCTCATCGGAACTTGCTCAGTCTCCACAGCATGGCTCTTTGAATCTGGTCTGCCAGCCCCCAAATGCCACGAGACAAAATAGCGCAAGGGCCCAGTGTCTGCATGTTGCAGTTGTTCGATGAAGTGAGTTCTTGGGCTCCTACTCCGATGCTGCCATCGCCCC